GTATCTATCTATCTATTAATTTTTCTCTCTCTATATATATATATATTTATTTATTTATTTATATATATATCTATTTATTTATTTATTTATATATATATATATAGAGAAAGAGAGAATTCAATGATCGTTTGTACATTTGAAAAAATTCTATTTTGACAAATTAACTCTTTGCGCTCGAATGGTGACTTTCATTTATTTTCACTATTTATGTACGATTCTTTTGAAATATCGCTTATATAGAATAAATTCCTGAGCTCTTTACGTGTAACCTTGCGAAGCGTAGAAACATAATATATTGTCGAATGTTTAGGTCTTTATCTCAAATTAGATCGCGGATCGAATTACATTTTCGCCATTGGTCCGAGTTTGACGGTCAGTGGGAATAGAAATATTATTTTCAATGTTTCGAGCATGGAAGTTTTGTAAGCATGGAACACGGTAAAATAAAATTAGTTCGAGTTTAATTTTTCGTTATTGAACGACGAAATTATTTCTATTCGTTAAGAAATCGACGATAAAGAGAAGGAAAAATAGCGATGAAAACAATGGTGATGAATATATAAATATAAAAATATAAAAATAAGAATATAGACTTTAACATTCGACTTCGAAATTTTCTTTCATTACGCGTAAACACAAAATACACAAAGTATTAGAATACAAAAGTTTCGTATGTTTCAGTCACGCGTGAAATCATTTTAAGTTAGCTAAGAAAATCGCGTGGAGTTGTTGGCCGAGCAAGAAAGGGCTGGAGTGCATAAAGTTAATAAACCGATACCGTTATACATACGTCTCGCGAGATAAGCCGGAAGTGGAGGCAGAAATTCGATTAAAAAACTGACCGAGCAAGCGCATGTATATACATATATACATATGTATATATATACATACATATATACATACATATATATATATATATATATATTCGTATAGCGTGTTCGCATTCGTGGCCGAGGGACACGTCGAAGGCGCGCGATAACGACAGTTCTTTATATTCCGCCTCCATTCGATATAACGAATCCTCTCGTTAGCGCGATTTCGACGTTTTCGCTCGCCTGTGCTTGTGTTCCAATGACGCTGGACGTTTCGTGCACCCTCTCTGCGTATTCTCTCTCTTTCTCTCTCTCTCTCTCCTCTCCCCTTTCTATTCCTTTTCACCCTCCAACGGTCATGGACCAGGCGACAGATTTTAATTAGCGATATACACCGATCCCAGCCTCGTTCCTTTCGACATTTCACTCTCCCTCCCCCATCCTCCTCCTCGTACATCTTGATCTCTATCCCCGTTAACGTAGTTAAGCCAGGATAGGGTTATTGTTATTTCTGACTGACTAATAATATTCGTGAAGTGAAAAAAAAAAAAATACTGGATACAGGATTGTATTTTTTCCGATTCGAGATGGAAATAAATTGAAATGGTTTGAAATTGAAATTTTTTTTTGCTTACGACGACGAAGATTTCTTTTTCCTTTGATTTGATAAAAAAAAAAAAAGGAGAGACGTTTCCTCTTTTTCTTCTTCTCGCTGGTTAGCTATTTCCGTTTTCGTTCCTCCCCTCGTGCTCTCTTTTCGTTGCTGTTTTCGTTGTTCGATCGTTGGAACGACGGGAAAGGGGAAAGGAGGGAGGGGAGGTAGTTGATAGAAGCGAGACAAGCTTAAGCGCTTTTGTCCCTTGAGCGTTTCAGGGCAGCGTCGAGCTTAATAATCTTGAGCTTCGTTAACGGAAGCGCGGTTGAATGAAAATATTTCCTGATGAACTGAGGCTTCTGTAAAAATGTTCATTGTCCTTTTCTTTTCTTTTGTTTTCTTTTTTTTTTTTTGTTTTCTTTTTGTCGAGAATGAGCCATTACAATTGAAACCCCAGTATATATATATATATATATATTTTAAAGGTGTACACAATTACCTGTTAGTTAATGAGAGTTCCATTAATGGAAACGGTAAATAGATTTCATTATCGTGCAATTTACATTCGAGAATTAATTTATTCGGTTGTCCTTCTCGGTTGCCAAATGGATTTTCGTTATGAACAAGAAGCGTGGCTGTTGATAGGTGAACGCAATTTTTGTTTTGTACAACATTCGCGTAATTGCGTCTGTCGACCTATATATATATATATATATATATAAGGGAAATTAATTGTATCAAATTAAAAATAACAACGCAAATGTTGTATTCAGTTCAAATATTACATCTCGTAAGCACGAAACTCAAAAGTTAAATTAGGATTACACACGTGTGTATATATATATATATATATATGCTCTTACATCGTCGAATGTCGTGGCTCGATTTATTCATGAGAATTAACCATCGTTGTACCATCTTGGAATACAAAGTAGATAAGAAACTTGGTAAAGTTTGTCCGCATGCGATACAACCATGCTTCTACATAGAAGGCAAACACCAGCTATAAGTTTATAATGGTGGTAGTGACTTTTAGATGGAATCGTACGCGAGAGGACAAACGAATGACATCTTTCTTCTTAGGAGAAAAACAAAAAATTGTAACGACATTATTTCAAGTGATATAAAGATGAATTCTTGTAAGCATTGCTAAGGATATCAATGTTTTGTTTTTCGTACAAGGAGCTCTATATATATATTTATTTTTAAAAAAGTTAAATAATTATTACAATTAAAATACACAAAGAAAAATTCTCTTTAACGAGAATTTATCATATTAGATTGGAAAGAAAGTTCTTACCGTTTTTAACTATTAAATTCAAATGCACATATCTCAATAAAGAGCATTGCAATCAATGCACTTTTGCACAATGAAAAACAAATTTTGTTATTCCGGTTGAATGAAATTCTGGTGTTCTGGAACTGGAATAGGAAAATTGTTCTGTTTCTTGTTGAATTATGTTTTCAATACCTTGAGAAATCAGAAAAATATATAATTTAAGAATAAAATTAATATCACGTTTTTACAGAGCATTTTAAAATTATATACAAAGTCAATGCAATTTAACACCAACTTAATTGAAAATAGAGCGTTTAAAATCAAAATAACAAAAACCGTAAGAACTTTCTTTCCAACCTAATATTTTAAGATGAATGATCTGTAAAATTTTCTTTCTTTTTATATTTGAGTTTTATGTCGCTCCTACAGGTTATTAACGACATCAATTCGGTATTCTTTATCAATCTTACATTTTCTTTTCTTTTAAAATTGTTTTTTGAATGTGATCTCTAATTTCTGTTTGCTTGTCTTAATCTGTACTAGGTATAGGTAAATTTATTTTACAATCTCGCGTATTCTCCCTTATCTCGCGTATTTCCCCATGTGGAAAGAGAGAGAGAGAGAGAGAGAGAGAGAGAGAGAGAGAGAGAG